TATATATATATATATATATAAGTTCTAAAAATGGGAGCCAGCCTTTAGTTATGCCCATACATATATATATAGAACTTTTAAAACTTTTATATATATATATAAGTTCTAAAAATGAGAGCCAGCCTTTAGTTATGCCCATGCGACTCAAAGGCAATTAATGGCAGTCATCAACTGTTGCGCTCTGCCATCCAGCGCCGACTCCCATAATCCCATTATCAGTTCCTCTGCCGACAAAGGCTGGCCACTGAAGTCCATGAACACTGCCTGTTCTGACCGACTCCATATATCAATTTCGTTGCTTCGTTCAAGCTTTTGCCATCTGGATGTCTTACTATTGTTGATTATATGTAACCATCGCCTGTCCTAATCTCTCCTGTGGCTGTAGCTGAGCACCATCCATTCATCATTCGTGTTTTTAACGTGATCATCTTCCGAATTTTTCTTGGTGGGGCATCGCGTTCGTGTCGTTTCTATCATATTTAATTCAATATCGTGGAATTAAGCACCATTAAATTTTGATTGGAATATGTAACTCAAAGAGTTGGTAGGTTACTTAAAATATTTCGTAGTTTTGGAGGTGTTGGATCCTGACTTATTTTTGCATTTTAAAATGAGGGGATTGTGTGATCTCTTTTTTATTGAATGATCTCTTATTTATAAACAAAAGTATATAATATATGAAATTATATTTATGTCCTTATATAAATAAGTGTTGTGTGGATTATTTAAAATATTTCACTCTTGTGACCTAAGGGCATTGCTGCTCTCTGGCTCGCTCTATTTGCCTTAGTTGGATTTCAACGAGCATTGTCCGCCGACTTGATCAGGTCGATAGCTTAGTTGGGGAGAAAGTGGCTTGATTTGTATTGTTGGTAGGATAGATAGATAGACGTTATTGGTTGGATGGTGTTCTACTTGTCAGGGATCGATAAGACTAATCTGCTAAGTCTTGCTGATCGTTGTCAAAGAACTTATGCAAGCCCTTGATTCATGTCAAATCGACAGAGAGAAGTTAAGATGTCGGGCGGATGGTAAATCGACCTATTCAGATAAGTGGCCGCCCTTTGGCTAAGAGGTCCCAAAGGATGGTTGCTTAGTCGTTCTTGTTATAGTCATAGGATTCGGTAGATTGGATCCTTAGTCGGTTTGGCTGCATCGATGTATTAGGTTCAGATAATCATTTATCTCGTGTTTAGGTGAGCCTCTCCACTCATGTCACTTATCTTTATCAAAATTGGTTTCGAGTTTGATTCAACTCGCTGAGTGTGGCTACCTAGGTCTTCTAGGAGATTTTTGTTGGTATATTTTCCGTGTAGAGAAGGATATTCTAATGTAGGGATGTTTTGAGATATTGATTCTTTTCTTTTGATATTTTCTTAACTGAGGATGCTCCAGGAATTTAAATCATGGTTTATCAGATTATTCTCGATCAAATGAACCTAAGAATTTCATAAATATTGACATATCTATTATATTTAAATGATATAAAATTGCATTAATTACTGGTCAATTCACATACAAATTTAAAAAATAAGAATATTTTCTATAAAGAAAATTCATGACAAAACATAAAAAATTAAGATATTTACATAAAATCAACAAAATAATTATCATAAAATTTTAATAACAAAATAAATATCATTAATAATTAATATATCAAATTTTTTATACTAATTCTCATGAAAATTAATTAAAAAAAAATCCTAATTCAAATCTTTCTCCTATCTAATATCTTCCAAACCCTAAAATTCAGTTTCCAAAAAACACCATCAACAATAAAAACAATTAAAAGAAAGATCAAAATGGATTGCACTATGCCAAAATTTTCACTTGATCTACTTTTCTGTTTTCCCTTTCTAATAACAAAAAAAAAAATCATGAAAAATTTACATTAACACTACCGCTGGCAGCACAGCTACAAATGGGGCAAAAGTCGACCGTTGGGCTGCAAAGGGCACAGAGACAGAGATGACGGCAAGGTAGAAGAAGCACAGTAGCCGCACTCCCACCGCAGCTCCTACAAACCCGCAACGCCATTGAAACCTCCATGGCCGTATTATCCAAACCTTCATTATCGCCACAACAACATGATTCAGCATCATCTGCAGGTTCAATATATATCTCTTGCTCTTCCTGCTTGACACTGCAGGTTTGTGTGGCGAGAACTTGCTCTAGATTGGCGCGGAGAAGATTAACGGTAGCTTCGTTCGTCTGTGCTAACTCTCGCCACACCTGATTCTCAATACAGAGGCTTCGAACTCGCTCTTCCAGAGCCCAATTCAGCTTCTTTACGGTCTCAATCTCATCATCCTTTGCTTTCAACTGTTTCCTCACTTCGTCTTCTACAGCTGCTAGAAGCCGCCGTGAAAACCGCTTCCGTTGCTCGGCAAGCTCTGCTGTTATCTGCTGAGTCTGTATGACAAAAAAGATTTGATTTTTAGAGAAGGAATCACACAAAAACAGGGGAAATTTGGAGAGGAGAATTAGGTACATGATGTATGATAAGGCGGTCGTGCTCGAACATCTGTTGCTGAAAATCAGAAGAGATTTCCTCTGCGAGTAGAGATAACGGTTCTCTTGATCGCTTCCTTCCAATAACGCCGGCTTTGGAAATAGGCATCATGAGGCCTCCTTGATGGGCATCCATTAATTTGGCGACGAGTTCTCTGCTCAACAAGCAACAGGGAAGTAAATGAAGGTGAGCAAAATTAATTTTTTGTATTGAAGAGAAGGAAGGAGAAGCGAAAGCAAGAGATATTGGACCTGTCCATGAGGAGTTGAGGGGCTAAGAGGTGAAGATGGTGTGCTTCAACGGCCATGGGAGGATGAGGAGGAGGAAGAGGAGAAGGATAAGTCATGCAAGAGGGATGGGCGAGAAGGGAGGGGGAAGTGGGGGGTTTATTAGTGGTTTAGGAGAGAGAAAAGGGGGAGGTTTCTCATATTAATAAAAGGAGGGAGGGAGGGAGGTGGAGAGATCAGCAAAAAAAAAAAAGATAAATCGATGGTCGTTGCTTTATTAATGGCTAATTTTGTTGTTATTGCTGAATTAATCGGGGTTTTGGGCGTAATTAACGTATAGGAGGACTAATCTTAGAGGATTAAGGGCAAGACTGAAGGGGTGGTTATGATCCATGCGATGGAAAGCTTGATGGGGAACGGAACATTACAGAAATATAACGTCTCATACGCAATTCAAGCAACAAAAATATATCTAAATATCCCTAAATTGTTATGAATTAACCTATGCAGCACTAAAATTTAAAAAACAATAAAATATTGTAAATAGTAATTTTTGGTATGAAATTGTTGAACCACGAACTGCCATTGAATCACACCCGAGAAATAGAAACACACGCATATAGTGATAGTTAATAGATTCTTTCGAGAAAAGGTAAAGAGAATTCGAGATAGTTGATAGAGTTTCTTTAATAGGAGAAAATAATGAGATAATTTTTTTTCTTTTACTTATACAATGATTAATATTTATAGGAGTTGAGGCTAAAAATAAAGAAATCCCGTGAAGAATTCATGGGTGATATTATGTACAATTTTAACTCAAATGCTTACAGAAATTAGTGTTTCGGTGAAGCATTCGGCTTCTTCATGCACACGAATAATTAACTTTCTAATTGTTTATCCAAATTTTGACCCCAAGGTTTGTCTTGAAAGGATTAAAAATAAAAGATAAAGAATTTGTCTAAAGATATTGTAACACCTATACTATCCTCTCTTACACACATCAACTAAAAAAATTAATTAATTTTATGTAAATATAGTTGTAGTTATAATAATTATTCTTGATGCGTGCTAGAAAATTCGCGACGGTAGAGTAATGGATTATCGTCTTAGTGTTGCACGAGAATTCAGCACACACTTAGATGAAAATGAATCAAGCTGTAATAACATCAGAAGTTTTTACGTGGAAAACCAGTAAAAAGGGAAAAACCACGGGGTCTGGTCTAGTTGTAAAAATCCACTATCAAAATCCACTATCAGTTGATAAACATATGCCCCATGTCTCACAGGCGGGAAAGGGGTACTAGTTTTCCACGTTACAACGTCAACTGATGACATCTAGTAAGCGGTGGTTGACGGAGGTTGGCGGTGATCGATGGTAGTTGACTACAATCGATGACGGTCGGCGGTGGTCGACGATGGCGATGATGATCTTGAACTTTGACTTCTTCTCAAAACCTCACGTTCTCTCTTAAGCCTCCTTTCCTTCATGTGAGGGGTGAGGCTTTATTTATAGTGTTTTCAGTGCAATAAATACAAGAATATGAACCATTTTGATCGGACAGCCCGGAGAGCTTCCCTTGATCAGATGACGTTTGATGGACATTTGAGTGCCTTAAC